AAAATTCACTCCACTACTGCCACCTCTGTGTATATATATATACGAAGAAAGATGTGAAGTATCAGTGCAATATTTTTAAACAGAATCGAAACAAATATAAAAATTGATACAAAACTTTATAACACATTCAAATAAATATTTTTTATTTAATGAAACAAAATGACTAAAAAATCTGACATTTAGTTTTAAAACGTCATTACAAAAATGAGATTCCAATCTTTAAATAATTGCGATAATTTTTAAATCCTTCAAAAAATTTTTCAATAGAGTGTACACTTTATGAAAAATTATTCTGAAATGCGATTGTCGTATGATTTTTCGTCACAAAGTTACATGCCACGCGTGTTTTTAACCAGTTACTCAACCTTATCAAACTTTCCTTTCCATCAAACGTTATCAAAAATTACCAAATGTTTCGGTGGAAATCGTATTCGAATAATTTTTGCGCGCATGTGTACGTGGCAACGCGCACGCGCAATCGTCGTTGCAACAGATACAAATGAACAGGACCTAACCTGCACGCGGCAAAATCCACCCGGCGCGCAAGAAGTAGAAATAATAGTTTGCCGCGTGGAAGTATTGGTCGGGTCTGTAACCGGTATTTAGAGGCATTCCTTCCCTGTCCCGCGATACACTCATAAAGCCGGTATGCCTCGAATTATCTCCGTTCGAAGGAAAAAAAAATGATCGAACAATGCCGTAGTAATATTAGCCCGGATCGACGCCGGTCGTGCACACGTGCTCGCGAGAACACGCGCCATTTTTATCATCCGTGAAACGTTTCTCTCCGCATAATGGTTTCTTTACTCTTTCTCTTTCGATCTTTGTAATTTTTTTACGCATTTTTTTCTCTCTCTCTGTTTTAAATAATTGATTTTAAACATACTGGAACTTATCGGATGTAAAATAATATGTACGTTAATTTTTTAAGAGAAAGGTCCAAGTATTTTTAAGAGAAAATATAATCCTTCTTGAATATATATACATATATGTACTTGCAAAATGGAACTGTCAATATAATATAATATACATTTATTCTCATTGATAAAATAAAATTTTCTTCGTTATGTGTATAGAATAATTATCATTTTTTGTTTCATTTCTAATAAAAAGTACATAATTCATACTTTACAGTTGCAAAAAAATCTCACTAGATCCTTTTTAATAATCGTACACTCCTAATCTCCATATCTTTCCCTTCAGTTCCTCCGAGCTGTCTCTCTTCAACGCAATCCAAGTGACCCAGTTGGGAAGGAGCTCGAGGCTCGTTACTCGCTACATAAAGCGTAATCGGATGACGTACCATTCCCTCGTTCTTGAACATCCGTCGAACGTAAGGAAATGACAGGAATAACTGTACAGAATCCGAGTTCCTTCGCGGTCGCAAGTTCGCGTCCTCCCCGAGGAAAATTAATGAAACTGTTTTCTGCGTGATCTTTTAAGGAAGGGTAATTAAAATTCTCGAAGCGCGAAATGCCAATTATCGAACTATCTGGCTGACGATTATCCATCGTGGATTTCACGAAATACATTTTTCTCCAAATTTTTTTCTCATCTATCTTCGTTTACTTGTCATTTAACAATCAGATTCGAAAATATTTCTCTTTGATATTTTTAAAGATTATATTTATGTTCTCACGCATAAAGATGGAAGATGATTTTTTACATTTATTGTTTTTAGTTGAATCATTATCGATCACTTTATGTAACATTTATTCATATTTAATGCAGATCGAAAAATGTCTAATCTACAATTATATTTAAACGAAATTAAACGAATATTTATTATAATTTTTAAGTAATTACCTCGGCAGGAAATAATGATCATAGTCTCTTTGGAGGATTAATACAATTTTCAGTTCAGAATTAATTTCGTTTAAGAAATTTCTAGAGCAGTGATAGTTACAGAAGAATTCAATTACATTTTGATTTTTTTCTCTTTTCCTCCTTTTTTTTCTTTTTTTCTTTCTCCGCGCAGCAAAGCACAAAAATATCTTTGTCGGCCCAATTGAAAGTATTCTATTTCCCCGATCATTACGAGTCCACTAATAACCGAGAGATCAAGAAACATGTTAAGATATATATAATTAAATTAATTTACCACTTCCATCGTATTTTAATAAGTGAAGCAATGCCTGTTCAGGCTTAAATATCGAAATTAAAATCGTACGGAAAGGAAATGATATTTTACGGGTAGTAATTATCGTGCTTAGTTTGCTCTGCAATCTGTTTCATAATCGTCCAAAGTGAATAATAGTTGTTGCATAATCGACCCAGCTCGATTATTATCCGCTAACGAATTCCCCTGCAATTCTTACTGTCATCCAGTGACAGCGATCGCTATTATCCGCTAACGATTTCGATTTTAATTCACCATATCTGTTAACTGTGAACTGTCGGCGGAATGAATTCGTTAACTTTAACGCAATTCCATTTATTGGAGAGAAATTAAATTTTTTTGCGATTTTTTTCTTTTCTGATGAAAGACACGATGCGAAAGGTTAATCGAAATCTATTAAGGACTCGTTGCATGCAGAGCGTTGATAAATCGAATATACCTTTGAAAAATTGTTCTTAAAGAGCGTGTATTAAAATAAACAAGAAAGTCGATGTGCAAAAATATCGATCCATTTATCGGAATGGAAGAAGAGACAGAGACAGATATTTTTGTATCAACCTTTGTTTAATTCAGGGAGAAATATCTCATAACAGTCCTTCTTCCATTAAATTCATTGCAAATAAATCATCGATGATGATAATAATCATTTTATATATAAAAGATCTCGATCTGGAGAGGCAACAAATGATTAAGAAATAAATGTAACGACACAAAAGTAATTATAAATATAATTCAAAGATCTCGAAAAAGAAGAAAAAGAAAAAGAAAAAAATTAAAATTATTACGATACACACCGATTTAATCAAGGTAATGATACGTTTACAATAATAAATATCGCGAAATGAAGAGGAACAAAACGTCTTGTGAGATGGGTTTCTATTAAATAAATCCAGGGAGAAAAAGCATTTTCTGATTATAATCGTGGAAATTTGTTCGGGGGTCTTTCTGAAACAGGGCAGATCTTTAACCCAAGAAATAACGATGATCCACATCAGTTCATATAGGGGAACTGGTAGTTACCAAAGGGTCTGGCCACAGATTGGCCGGATACCAGATATTTGTAGATATTAGTATCTCGTACTCGGGGTCATTAATATTGATTAGAGGTGTAATTAGATAACAAGCTAGATTAGGTTATTAGCTTCGGCATATTATACGTGGTGCACTTTCAACAAGATAGATTAACGATAGCTCATACTTCATCTAACCCAACATCTTACAATTTAACATTTTACCGTCTCTAATACCACTTTGTACCTTCCCTTAACCATTCTAATTTTTCTGATCGTTGTAACGTCTGTTTATTCTGATTTAACCTAATCTTCATCTAATCTGATTCCTGGTTAATTGCGTGCAAAGCAACTAAGCCTTATGCGTGTTATCAAAATTAAAGAAATTCAACAAGATTTATATATATATCACAAATTTCATGAATTTTAATCCTCAACAAATATTTTTAAGTAATTTAAATCTATCCCACGTTATGGATACTTATTTATGCTTTAGAAATGCATTTATATAATTAAGAGAAAAAAAGTACTACAAAGATGGAGTTTCTTTAAGGATGCAGACTCGAAGAATTCTTATTTAAAGATGAAGATTAAACGAGGATATAAAAGGAGAAGTCGATGGAACTATTGAAAGGAGGAAAGAATTTCGATCATCATGTGAGAAACAATTTAAAATGGCAAATGATCAAAGATTGGAGGCCGCGTGTATGGACATGCATGGCCAGATGCGCGTTCGATGTATCATCGGCAAGTTGCACAATTTACCGCGGCTCTCGAGGCCCAAGATGGCGCGAACATGGCTATAAGAGAGAAATTGAGAGTTTAATATTTATGAATGGTTAAGAGGAGCAAGGCAACTTTGTATTCCCTTTTTATTATACAGTATGTTGTTCGATACTGATGTAGCAATTCAGACTTGTTCCTTTTTTTATATTATAATCTTGTATTTGAAAAATTTTCGAAATTTCAACTAATAAAACGCAATCCACGAATATTTTGTTAAATATTTTTTTTAAATTTAAGAAATTTTTTGAATTACGAATATTTAAAAATAATTCGGCAATTTGTAAATTATAATTGTAAATATTTGCAAAACAGGGTTTATCGTTTAACAATGTTGTCCTCGATTTTACAATGTATTTTAAGAAGCATGGAGAAGAAAGCAATGTACGCGAGCCTTGTTATGTAATGTTTTCTCTGAAACATTTATCTTCGTCCAACCAGGGTGGTCGTAAGTGAAAAGAATTAATTGCATCGTTTTATGTTCGCTGTTATGTCAAAAAGATATTTCAACATGCATATTTATTAAAAAGAAAGAGAATATATATAATAAGAGAGAAACAGAGAGAGAGATATTTAAAATATAATTTATAATTTGATGGTAAAATTAATTTTGTCTACGTGGAATAATATTTTGTTCTTTTAATTATCAAAAGTATAGATGAAATCTTGGCAAAATTAATATTAATATTTATCATATTATGTAAAGACTATAAGTTATTAATTATTAACATTATGTGACTATTAATTAAGTAATTAGTATCCTGATACTTGTACATTTATCTATTTATAGAATATATTTTATTATAATTTTTGATGTAAAAGTTATATCTGAAACTAAGAAGATTTAAAAACTATCAAATTGCTTGAAAATAGTAGATATAGATGATTTAATATTAAAAAATACAATAAAGTTGTACAAATTGTTAAAATTTTATTTTGAATAATTCATAACTATCCTATTCCAGGCACATACCTCAATGCAACATTGGAGAAGACGATAGGCTGGGATTGCCGTTGCTGGAGTGCAAGCGTACTCCTTAACCTTGGATTAATTTATGCACCGACTTCGACTACACTTATTTCTGCAAGAAACGCGATAAGATGATACCGGTAAAACTTTCAAAACAGTCGTCATATTGTTGCACGACGTTTGGATCATACATATTTCACATAAGAATATCTTATGCAAATAGGTATTCATTTTTAAAAATGCATTTTATTGCTTGTGCATGTTTCAAAGACGTTCACATATATATAGCAAGGATTATAGAAAATCCAAATCGATGTGTTTTTTTAATAAAAAAATACTATAGAAAAAAAGATATAATATTATGGAAAAATTCTAACAATCAACCACGAAGAATTCCTTTTTATTTTATAAATTATAGTTAATATATTCATGAACATTCTAATTAGTAAAGATCTTTATTACCAACAGAAAAATTTATAAATTATTAATGTATTATCAATCTTGAATTACTTTTTTCTTAGTTTCGATAAATGCATAAACCTTTATTATACTCTATACTAATTTATTCATACTCAATTATCCTTTTTTCACGTAATTCAATCACGCACACTTAACACAACAATCAACAATTAAATCAACTCCGGCACAGTTTCAGATTCCAAATCCCTCGTGAAATTACACGATGAAATTACAACAAAAAACGATCGCTTAACAACCTAACCTAAAACGCCGGTATCTCACGGCCGCCAGGTTCATCGACTCAACCACCATCCCCCGTCCCCGGGCTGTCGCGTTAAAAGCGTGCAGCCGTGATAAAAATCATCATTGTTTCCCGTAGGCGAGGGCCTCGCCTCGTTTCAATTCTATCCGCAAGAAGAGAAAGAAACGAGGCTCGAAAGTAGTGGCTCTTAGAAGAGTAACTTATCAGCCCGGCCGCGATAGAGGCTTTTTGCGAGGATAGGGGGCGCGTTAAAGCAGAAAACAAAGTAGCCACACCGTGAAATGACTCACGTATTTGGTATGCATTCCCTCTCTCTCTCTCTCTCTCTCTCTCTCTCTCTCTCTCTCTCTCTCTCTCTCTCTCCCTCTGCTTCTCTCTGTTAAAGTAACACTTAGCAAGTTTAAATGTGTGCACGTGTAATAGTGGCGCGCGAAGGCCAACGTAAATCTGTGTTTCGACGTTTATTCCGTTGCAAAGCGTTAATTTCTGCGGGTTACCGCGCCACGTCGTGACGGTGCGCCCTTAAATGGCGAACGATTCTCGCTTGGTTTCGCGCGCACCATCCAACTGTTTGCATTGTTAAATATTAATAATAACGATCGAGGCTTTGGACCAAGTGTTGCGCAATTTACGAGCTAGGAACGAATACAAGGCCGCATCGCCTGCAGCCTTGGACTAACGAAGTTGGTGGAGCTGGTGAACCAGTACCAGGGCTGTAAAAAAAAGCACGGGGACCACACGGGAGGCTTCTGCTTCTTGCGACGGAGACGAGGTTTCGAGAGGAAAGGTTTGAACGTGGATTGCACGTTTCGAGTATGGACGGCTTCGAGGTTTTTTTAGATTTTCCACTTGAGGAGGAGGAGGAGGAGGAGGAAACTGGATGTTTAATTAAGGGATTTCGATGAGAAAGTTGGATCTGGAATGATGGTAAGAAATTGTTGATGATGTTGAATTTAAAATGATTGAAAGAATTGAAAGGAAGTTGTTTACAGAGATTAACAGAGGGTTGAAGTTTCTCATTTTAAACTTTTTTTTTTTTGGAAACTGGAGTATAATGTTAATTGAAAGGATTTCGATGTGAAACGATTGATGATGGATAATAAGATGAAGAAAATGATAAGATGGATATTGAAACATTATAAAAAGATGGATGGAAAAATTTTTTGATTAGTATTGAATTTTTTTTTGCAATTATTGTAATAATTTAATTTCTTGCTTAAGACGAAACGCGTATTTTTTTTTTTTTATTTAACTTATAAGGAAATGATTTATTCTGATGGATATATGATTGGATATAGGAATCGCAAGAAACAGAGGTTCCGTTGTCACGCTAGAAACCCCATGGTGGCGAGAACTAGAAGTACCGCTACGAATATAACTCGCTTCCCGCTTGTCCCGTCCCTGTTACAGAGAGTAAATTGGCAAGTGTTTTTAAATACCTAATAATTATAGATTATAAAAGAGTAGAATGTGTCACGAGAGAGATTTTTAATTGATAAATTATAAAACTCTATAAGTTAATTATTGCCAAGTTAATAAGTAAGTAAGATACGAAAGCATCCCTATAATTTTTCAAACTCTGAATTGAATTCTATCTCGTTCTTCAATCAACACGCTATGGTCGAAAGCAAACAAATTTTCCTGTCATCGACAATAATTATTTCCTAATTTAAAATAATTTCATTAACGGTTATCGACAATATCGTTTTGATCGAGCCAACTTTAGATTATTTCTAATCGTTCGAATCGAAAGCCCAACATCTTTTCTCCAATAATTCCTAACCGCAATAAAAATCAAAGACGATAACGAGATTCACGCTTCCAATTCATTTAAACATATCGAACAAACGTAATAAAGCAATAACGAAGGAAGGGGGGGGGGAAAGGACGAAAAGAAAAATCGAAAGAAAACAGCAGCGAGTAAAAAATACACGGGATAAAAAGCAGAGGGGAAAACGGCGTGGACAAGCGGCGGACGGCAATATGGCGGCGGAAAAATTGAGCCATCTGGCGGACGAAACGGAAATGAGGATCGAAACCGCGATTCTCCGGTCTCGAAACGCGGAATGGCAAGTTTCTTTATGCAGGGTGTGATCGAGGTGTCCGCAATGACGAATAATGCTCAGCGCGCAAATCAACCGAGTGAAAAAGAGCGTGCAACCGAGAGACAAGAAGTCGCGCCTGTGACCGCGGCCGCGTACGAGCATTGAATAACGCCATGCCAGAACGAAGAGGATCGTTTTTGCGGCGTCATTGACATTTTCATTAAGTCGCTTCCCTTTACAGAGGCTCATGATTATTTATAGGTCGATTGATGATGATAATGACCACCGTGGCGCGTCTCGAACGATCCTTTTTTTTTTTTTTCTTTCTTTTTCCTTCTCAATGCGGACCAAGGTGATTGAGAGTCAGCGCGTGTTTCATTGGTAGATGGCATGACGATTCGACTGATGAGGAATGATGTTGTTGGAGAAGAAGAACAATGAAGCGGGAGAGTTATTTTTAAGGATACCGATTTTAAAATTGTAAACAAGTTGCCACTCAGTCAAGAAGAAATTAATTGGAATTGGATTTCATTCCCCGATACGGCTTCCTACGACATTCGATTATTGTAGTAAGTAAAAGAAGGGAATTCTTCTATGTTTATAATGTTATAACTTGATTTATAAAAATATTGAAATGTTAGGAATACATTCAAAAATTTATCATTACGCGGACGTGTTATGTGTTAATAAAATAAATACTATACCAGAAAAGAAGGAACGTCTCGAGTCGTGTTCCTGGCATCGCCACGAAAATTATTACCATTCTCTTTTCGACATTGCACATTCCTTGTAATAACATGTGGTACATCCATAACATTGTTGCAAAACAAGGTCGACACTGTACCACTTCTGGATGGGATTGCCTTTTAACATGGAGTAGGGCTGCGTTCCGTAACGTCGCCGTCAACGGTGCAATCAAGTCTTAAGCGTGCAAATGCGACGTGCAAACAAACTGGAACGGCAATTATTTACGTAAGCATCGGGATCGTGGGATCTGTTTGGAATGACACGTCGTTAGGCGGCAGGATCGATATTCTAGTTCCTGAAGAATTATTACTGGTCATCCTTGAGGCTAGCCGAGGGATCTTTTGCAAGGACGGATTGACAAGTAGGTTTCGATCAATCATCTCGATCATTTTTGATAATTGCAACCTGTGAACGATACATTAGACGTTGGTATGAGGCAATTAGCGAATAGGATTGATGGAGTTGCACTAAAAAACTTTTTCATCTTATATTTAAATAAAAAGAAAAAAAATCTTATTTTATAGTTTTATAAAAATTAGATAATATACTTTTTTCAATATAGCTTTAATTATTTTGAATCAAAGAATATACGAAAGTGTATTGTTTTAAATTTTTCTGAAGGAGAATTATATTCGAATTGAATTTTGAGAAGGGATGATTCATGGAACCTTGGAATTACGAAATTAATTAATCATTGAAAAAAAAAAAATAAATAAAATTATTATGAAAATAATAAACGATTTAAACACGAACCCACCTATCCAATTAATACATTAAAAATACACTTTCCTTTTTCTACTCTTAGACTTGTCCCATTCATCAGACTGAGAAAATAACTGGAAACATTTAAAGCTAAGCCTTTCTTCATTTCTTGCAAGAACCCCTAGGAACATAAATAAATCCCTTCGTACCTTCAACAGTTGTTAATTATTTGCATTACCATCCGTCCATACTTTATATTATTCCACTGATGCTGCCGTGCCATCCGAAACTTAATTAAATGCATTCAATTTGTTACACGTACAGGATTATTGACGGAATACTATTGCGTGTAACTGCATGGCTTCAAGGAGTAAAGGCGCTGACCTTCGGAAGGTCATCCGTCTCGAAGCGATAGACGATATGCTTCCGTGTGCCAGCAATGGCCGCACTACACTCGCCACGAGGAATATATTGACCCTGCGGGTGAATAAAATCATTATTCCTCGGTTGTTTGACGGCCGGTTAGTTGATAGAAGCGATTAAGTTGTGAAATTATTTCGAGAAGGTGTTTCGCTGAATTTATGAATCAATGAGTTATTGATAATGTTACTTATTCCTGGATGAAGAATGATATCGTTTGAGAATATATGAAGCTCTTTTTTTTTTCTTTTTCTCTTTTTCAGAAGATAATAACGTTTTTAATATTTATAGGTAATAAACGTAAAGTAATGATACTTCATTTATTATTTCGTTTTTATCTTTTTATCGTATTAAAGATTGTCAAAGGTGTGCAATTTGACATTGAACGCTTGTTTGGAGAAAATGATCGAAGAAGAAATTGTCGTGATGACTATCAATGCTTTTAAAATCATTAGAAAAATTTTTTCCTTTCGCGGGAAAAATTCAAATTTTAAACGCGATTAAATTGATAAGGTGCCAAAATTTCAAACTTTAAAATAAAAAAAATTGTCCAAATAAAAAAAGATTTCTAATGATATTACAAAACAAGATGAAGATCTAATCTGTTCTTGACTACTCTAAATCATAATCTGAAATAATACATTATTCCTAACCTAAAACAATTTCGATCATTTATAAATTAATATTCATTAAAATTTCAATTGCAATGGACAAGGCAAGAAATTTTTTTATAAGAATGATAAGTCTAATGGTGGATGAGAATCACTGGGTTAAGGCCTGTTCACGCGTGTATGCGGTAAGAGTACACGCATGTACTCGCGTACTCGGCTCGTGAGCCGTGTACAAAGTCAGGGAAGTACGTACGGCATGTTTGATGACACTCGTCCCTTTGAGCGGCGCGGAAAAACCGACAGGCCTGCTCCGTCGCTCAGGATGTCACGCAAGTTAACACGCTTTGATAACGTCCGCATTAGCACGTTCAACCGGACGTGAATCGTCGATGATTAACGCCGGTTTCGCGCCAACGAAGATTAGAGATTCGCGGAAACTTTCACTCGAATGGCCAAGCGATAACGAAGCATATGCAGGTATGCGTATAGTAATTAATGCGATGTGATTCTTGGATCGATCGACGTGAGCCGAGGATCACTGGTAATAAATTCTTTCGTTGGTTTCGAAGATAAAATTCTGTGAAGGTATTTGAAGCGTTTAAATGATAATTTTAAAAATAAATAGAAGAAAAGTTGATGTGATAATTGAAAAACCGTGGGAAAATATCAAATTATCATAAATAAGGATTTGATACTATGATACATTTCATAATATCGCAATAAATAGTAACGTTAAAAGTAAAATAATTAGGAAAAATTAAGGCTGAATAAAATAATTAATAAGAAAATAAATATAAGAGTTCATCATAAATGAAATTAACATACCCATTACAAAACATCATTATTTCTCTCAGAGTTGATTCATAAAATGTATATAAAAATTGTAATGCTTCATAAATATTTTATATCCGTTTAATCCTCATCTTTATTCACCTTCACTTCAAAACCGTCACTAAAAATACGTTCAATGTTAATAAACTTCACATCAATAACGATCGAAATAAAAATCAAGGGAAATAAGACGTAGTATTAGCCACTATTCGCATCTTTCATCAATCAAAAATACCTTAAAACAACAATGTGTCGAGAGAACATAACCTAACAATACATACAATCATCAGGCGTTCATCGAATCTTTCATGAGATATTCACGCTATGCAATAAAGTATATCTCGCAACACGTTTCCTCGTTGAAAGACTTACAAAGAATAAAAAGGTAAGAAAGAAAAAACTTTAAAAAAATGTGAGAAAACCTACCAGGGTGTGACTCGAGTCAAAGGCAAACAATCACGTCCACGTATCCTTAGCACAATGCCAGTCGCGATTCGAGACGAGGCACAATAAGGCATAATTCAAAATGAAGATCCACGATGCGGTGTATATAAGAGTGTCGATGTTTCTCTCTGTTCCATCCATGACCTCGGCAACACGCTCGCAAAAGAAACGTATTAATAGGCCGGCGGCACGCAATGAACACTGTCGCTGCCCGTCGTTGTAATCAGCATCGTGGCGAGTCAATAATCATTCCGTGACCGGTAATTACGGGGATGACAATGACGGTCGAGTAACAATTTCTCGTCTAAACACTGCCATCAATATTCCCAGCGTTCCGAAGTAATTAGCAGGTGTTGGAACGTGAAAGCGTTTTCGACACCATGTTGACTATGTGCGCGCATGCGCGAATGCGTTTGTATAATAGAGGCAAATAATTACGAGGGAAATTTGAAAGAGGAAGTGATGAAACGGTGCATTAGATACATTTATACTATATGTACGTGTAATAAAATAAAAGTTAAAAAGGAGAAGAAATTAATTGTAAAACAATATTTATACAGAAAATTTTATAATAATAATTTTTAATTTCTAGAAGAGAATAAGGATTGTTAAAAAATTTTTCGATCACTCGGCGCTAATATACGTTTTGAAACAGTATCGGTGGCGGTGAAGCATTGCACAACGATCAATCGTATTGCATTATTGCTTGCATACCGATACGCAGTTGCTCGTTTTTCCGAGAAACAGACACGTTCGATGAATAGGGTACAAGGAAACCTTGTATTGCAATGCCCAAGCGTATCGCTGACATCATGAATATTAATAATCCGCTAACGGTACCTGTTTTTGCTATCATGGGCGGGATATATTCACGCATTATTGTCCATCTAAATCTTGATCGAATGGATTTGAAGACAAATTTTAATACTCTTGAATATTTTTTCTAAAATATCTCGAATGAGAATATGATTAATTATTTTAGAAGATCTTGATTGGTAGAAATTTTTCCCATTTTTTTCTATTCTCTCTGAAAATTAGAAAAGAATTTGCATGATCAAATTTACATTATATAATATATTTAACGTTACATAAGCATGTTTCTAACGTTATCCAAATTTTACAGTTTGTAATTTACTCAATGTGATAAAAATTTCAACCAAAATTTTTTATAGAATAGAATTTTGCCATTTAATTGTATTTAAATGTTAAGAATTTCGATGATTTATAAACATAGAACTCACTATTTTATTGAATATGAAATCTTACAATAGTTATAGAAATGTAACTAAATTAAATTATATAAATATAAAATGAACGAATAAAAAAATTATATATCAAGAATTTTCTCACAAGCCAGAAACTAATACTTTCACTGTTAATCAGTTAGAGAACGTAAGAGCAATTTATCCGAAGGCTGATGATATCCAACAGCATGTTGATGAAGGTCAAGATATAATGTAATCATTGGCAAGCTCGATAATTGTCCACACACATTGAAGATAAAAAAAAACGATTCGTGAAAGCATATACTTATATTATAAACTTACGACTACGAGGTCGATATCGTAAACATCGCGTTGCATAGCGGTTCCTCGAGATTTCTGAAAAGTGGCACACCATATGTTCGAATAGCATCTGGTGAACAGGATTTGAGAACCGTTTAAAGATGTAAATATCAAATTATATATGTAGCGACACGATTAAATTAATATTAAATTACAGAGAAGTAATTATGGTCAATAAGATATAATTGGAGAATTCTCTCTGTTATTATTAAATGTAATAACTTGTAAATCTTTTTTTTTTCTATTGTAATTACACGCATTTAAGAAAAAATAAGAAAATTACTAAAACTCGATGTCAACAAATCAAATTGATTAATAGATACTAATAATTAATAATATTTTAATATTGAAAAAAATAATTACAATGATGAAAGATCAAATTAATATAAATCTAAAAATATGTTTATATTTTTTAAAATATCATTAAATCATAAGTATAATTGCGTTAACAAATATAAAAATAGTCATTCAAATATAACTAATAATAACTTTTTTTTATAGAAATAATAGAAGAATAGAAAAGTAGAAAAATATGAGAGACAACGTTACGTTTGGATTAATCGAAATGGATTAAAACATCGATGATATCTCATTATCCGTTGAAATGTATTTAGATTATGGCCCCGTTGTTTTAATCTCGATAAATGCGAACTATGCAAATACATCGAAGCTTTCTCGGTTTCATCGCGAAATACTGAGTTGCGATACAGTAATTTATGTTAATTATACGGATAGGTTATATAATAGATGGTTGTTAATTAGACCGCGAACAAAGTGATTAAATCATGGTATTTCACATTAATAAGATGATGGATATAAGCTAATATTTAATGCTTATATTCGCGGATGAACAATGAATCTCACATAAATAATAGAGAACAGAGTCATAATACATATATCGATACTTAACGAATATTTTTATTAATCGTAATATTATTAATTACAATGAAATTATCTTGGATTTCTTACTGCGATCAATTCTTTTTTTCACACATTAATCTTAGTTAATAACACGATATTATTGTTATCAAAATTAATATTTATTGTTAATTCTTTGTAGATAAAATAGATCGATTATATATAAATCTAATAGTTTTACTGTTCTGAGTTTTTCAAAATGTTTCAAAAAATTCTAGACTATTCATCGATAGAATTTTCTCTAAAAGAAAAATTTTCAAATTTTTCGCATAATTAAGTTTCAAAATTTAATTTAAACTAAAGGATTTATTTATTTTATTTTTATTATAGATTTATGTTTACATAAAAAATTATTATTAGCTATCTAGTTATTATTAGCTATTTATTTACAAGTTTTGCCACGCCTGTATAATTAATCGATTACGAAGTATGTAATCTTGAATAAAATATGCAGTAGCTTCTTTTTCTAAAACGCATTAATATTTAATTACCTGCTTTTAATAAATGTATTGTATTAATGCACTATTAAATTTGCATCACTAAATTTGTGTGCAATACTTGCACATAAATATGATAAATTTAAATATACAATGACATAGCTAATTATTCATAATGAAATATCCGTTTAGAAAAATGAAGAAAAGAAATTATTTTGAGAATATATTTTCATATTTTATGATGTATAAAAGTATCGTAATGATTTTAATGATCTATCATCTTCTTTTAGTTATATTAGAAAGAAAAAGGAGGAAAAAAATACGTACGACCATATGACATTTCCCGATCTTGTGAAAAAGAAATTGTTGAAATATTGTTACTTTTTTTGAATATAATTATTATCAATTAAATATTATGAATTAATTTTATTATAATATTAAAATTATAATAATATTAAAATTAATGATAAATGATAAAAATATGATTCAAGATCAAAATATTTACAAACATTTCATCAAAGCAAAAATACATAACCTATAAATTTTACAAGCTATTAGTTGTGTAAATAAAATATATATATCCCATACATATTTATAAAAAATTTACAAGCTATTTAAGATTTATAAATAACTTGATAAATGATACACGAATCGTAATCTTTAGAAAAGATTGTTTAAATATTAAAAGAATATAAAGTGCAACCTACAAGAGAAAGTTAGAATCTGGCAAGCAAGTGCATATTTATACTGATGCCATAATGATTACCTGGGAATATAAATATGAATTCGTGGAAACAGACGATGTATATTTACAAATAATATCATATCCCATTGTTTTACATGGAAACTCTATCATTCCCATTAAAATGATACGCAAATGCAAAAATTTATGCAAAGTTCGAATTATATACTTCAAATTTAGTATTAAAACCACTATTCAACTTTTCACGTCGAACACTTTCTTTCATTCTTCAAATTTTAAACAAAGTCTATTAAATCCCAAACACTTGGATATCACTCCACAAAAATCACTAACCTCTCATCTTCATCCAACTCCCCATGCATTCCTTAAACATATTCAAAATTACCATATTACGCAACGTACAATACATCGCCGCGCGATATCCTAACCTATTACGATTCAACCCGAACTATGCACTATATCGAGAGGAAAATCGATTAGAAGAATATCCTCAAAGGTTCATCGTTTTACTTAGCGGGAAATCTGGCGCGGAACCGGAAACAGAAATCAACGTAGGAAAAAGAAAAAGACCGAAAGGCAGGAGCAACGTTCATAGAAAGGGAGTGGAAAGACTCGACACTCAACGAAGGAGATATCCTCGTGAGTCGGTGTGCCCCCGAGTCTGCGCGATACAGTTTATTTGAAGCCGAGTTGAGGGTGGGGGTAACGGTCGGTCGTTCGTTGGCGCGTCCTCGCGGATCGCGGTTTAACTTTAGTCGCACGATCTCGTCCGCTAGCGTCGGGCTGTTCTACGTCGAGTCTCGAAGCGTCTCGAATCGATCGATGGATCGATCGCGCTATCGCGTCCCTCCTCCTGCCGCCCGATCCTTCGAGAAGTCGACCGATCGTGTTCAGTCTATCGTTGATCGTTGATCGATTAGTTCTGATCGTTGCTCGGTTCGTGTGGCGAAACAGAGGATTGTCGTCGGTGATAGAGAGGATCCGGGTGAAAGTTTTTCATCAAAACATCGTTTCGTTCTCTTTCGTGCGTGGTCATGCTCGTAACGAGTTGTATGGTGCAGGTGAACCGCATGCGTGATAGGATCCGCGCATCCGTTCGATCCCGTGGCTCTTAAGAGGTTATACACACGCGTTTACGGGATTTTTGAGATTCTACCTATTGGGAAGGAGGCTGAGAGCGGTGAGAAAGGTGGGTGCAAAGATACAGGTGTTTCTTTTTCTTATTTGTTTTTTGTTTCTTTCCCTATCCCTCTTTTTTCCTTTTTTTCGTTCGATTTATTCGATGATTGTTTGACAAGGATTGGTGCATGAAGTGGCTACTGAAGTGTGTTATTGGAACGTTCGATGAAAACGAGATGGGATAGATGATATTTGGCATCCATCTCGATAAATCGAGGAAACAATCGATCGATGTGTTGTTTTGCAATTCATATCAAGGGATTGCGTTATTTTGCCGTGCTAGGCAATCTCGGACGAATTGATATTGGCTCAAAAGAGATATACTTGGTAAACATGAGCTACATAAAATGTTGACCGTGGGCAAATTGGTGTTATTCTTGTGGTCGTGAGAGCATTTATGCGAATGGCGGGAGTAAGGAAATCGAAGGAATCGAAGAAATTGTGTTGTGTAACTAGGTGAGAAAATTGTTCATGATCATTGGATAGAGTTTATAAAAAAATCGGTGTTATTTAGAAAAAATATGTTTTAGAAAAAACATTTGTGATACTTTCAGTTGAATGGAATCTTTATAATTGAAAGTAAAAGTCTTATGTGGTCTAATAATGAAGAGTGTAAGTCTAATAATGAATAGTGTAAATTATTCCAAATTTATTTAACTCTCTTTCACAAGAATTTATTAATTGATAATATTATTGATTTGACAGGTGACATGTTACAGAATTTTTCTACTACTTCATTTTAATTATATATAATTTATATATAAGAATTTCATCATATTTCTTCATTTTTTATATATATATAAAATATATATATACNATATATATATATACATTATACATATCGCTATAATGTATAAAATATATATCATTTAACGTAAATAAAAACAATTTGAAAAAAATGTATGAAAACTACAACTTTAATCAGTGCAAATGAGAAAGATTATCGAAGGCATTCGCATTATGACGAGAATACTCTTTAAAAAAGAAAAAAAAAATATACTTACTCCGGTTGGCAAAAGAAAAGTAAACAAGCTGCTCTATGTGTATATTTATACGGCGGCAAAAATGTTGCACGACGGCTTTTAACTTCTCAACCAGCCAGAACGAGTTAACTCGTCTTTTATGAGAAACGCTTGCGCAGCGAAGTTTGCACTTTTATAAGGATAACACTTTATCAAAGCCTGTTGACGAGTTTATTTGGAATTTTCTAGTGGTACGAGACGAGTTCGAGGCGATTTTTTGAAAAAACCAATATCGATAAATTAAAAAAAAATTTCGAATCGACTAATATTTTTTTTCGTTTTAATAATATTATGCAAATGAAGAATTGTTTACTGTTTAATCGTTGGCCTATTGGCTCCCTGAGAATGCTGTTCATATGAATCACTCCATCTTGCAAGACCAATGGATTGAAAATTAATAGTTTCTTACATATAATTGACTTTGTAGGCGATTTGTTCGTTTTACGAGTCGTAGATTATTTATTATCTGAAATTGAGAAGAGTATTTTTACTAATACTCATATTCACACACGTATGCATTGTGAAATAATATAGGAGTGCATGGATGAAATGAAAATTTATTCATTATGTTTAATAATTTTTTGCTACATATATATATATATCTTTTTACAAATTTCTTTTATTAAAAATTCTTACCTTTAAAGAAAAATAATAAAGAAAAATAATACAATATATTTTTATATAATTATTCATTTGAATGTAATTAAAGAAATTTCCTTTCAAGAAGTAGAATAGGTATTTTATATGAACTAGGTAGTTTATAATATAGATTTTTATCTATGTTAATCACATTCTAATAACTTGAATTTTAACACGGAAAAGATTCATCGCCATCATATCCAACTCGTAGTAAATTTTAAAATCCATTCCTTCCTATTTATACATTCTTAATGCTGGAACAACCAACATGTAAAACTGTTGTCGAATATTTTGGAAATTTCTAGGGAATTTCTAGAGTATCCTAGCGACTTCACATCTGTTTCTTAAACTCATACCAATTTATTTATTTTAATGTTTAAAATTTAAAATATTATTTAATAATTTACTTAAATTTGTTAAATTGTTTTTTTTCCTTTGAAAAAATTGTTATTAACAAAATATACCGCATATATATACAAGAAACGAAAAGCGGAGAAACGAAAAAACTGGTGGAGATATCGAGCAAACAGGCGGTGAATTGCGAAGGAAGGGACGGGTAAACGCGCTAAAAGGCCGCAATCACGCCGGTGGTTTCGTTCTCACGGAACTCCGTTGCACAATATCAAACGCATCGCGATCATAAATTCAGATGGTCCGTGTCTAAAAATAACCGTGCAAACGTACATTTTTCTCTCTTTCCCCCCTCTCCCCTCCTTTCTCTCTTCTCGGCAGGCGCGCGAGCAAGCTCGTTAATTACGAATCGCAAGAAAGTAAGACGATGCAGGCCGACTTTCCTGCCGCTCTTAATTAAAATCAGCTCGGGCGATACGCGCGTGGAATCGCACGCAGACGCGTGCACCGCGTCGAATTACGTCAGGAGGGACAAAGAGGAATATCCGCCACGCGAAAAGCATCGAGCGTTTCCAGGACGGCGTACGCCGTTAATGAATAAATTGCTAAATCTGGGACTTTCACTTGACTCGATCTATTATGCGCTTCGCGCGGAGAACCTATTTTCCATCGTCGACCTCGTTGATCGCTTATTTCGTAGCGGTATATCGTTAACTTTATCATTATATGTACGAGAGGATTCAGATTTTCATTCGATTATTTTAATCTTTATTGAATTTGAGGAGTTGAGTTTTAAGAAACAATTTCTAGGGAACTCTAGATTACAACGATTTATTTTTTGAGTTGTTATGGGGATTTATTAACATTTTTTTGTTAAGTTTTGAAAAAATTCCTAGAGAATTTATCCTAATTTCATTGAAAAATGTTTCAATTAGTTTGATGAAATCTTTGGAAAAGGAGGGAGAACTTTTCTAGGGAACCCTAGCATTTTCTTTCTAATTTCACTTGAAACAGTTGCTCGTGGTATATATTACCAACAAAAAAGAGGACACTATATCGTATATAATAAAATTTCCAACTTGAAATTAGCAAACCACAACCGTGACGCAATTTGTCAAAGGAAAGAAGTTACCGATCACGAAGCGAAGCATCGATCGTGAAAGTATTAATTACGGGTGTGTAATGAACGTCTTCCTATAATTAATTTGATTCGCGCTTCATGGCAATTTTAACCGGTGGCGCGGCTCGAGTCGACGATTACGCGTGTTACAGATGACAAACGCCGGCCGATTACACCGGTCCTACACCCGACACCAAAAAAGGAACACGTTCGAAAGTGAAATGGCGCGCTGTTCGAACGATCTCGCGAGAGAACGAAAGCGTTTCGAAAGTTCTGCCTGTCGAGGACGACAGCCTCCCCAGTTTCTTCGGAATCGAACAGAAATCGAGGGGTCGCTGTTGTTTTCATTTCTGGGCCATGCCATTTAGGGAAAATCGTAACACGTTCGAATTTCGTGAAATGTTAAAAATGGCGGACTCGATCTTACGAAAAAACTTTTTATAAAAAAGTAAATCTTTAAAATTAAAATTCGAGAGATGGAATGATGACATTTTTTTCGGGATAATGGATATTGAAAAATGTATCGGAATAATAAACGAATAAGTTTTGAATGTTTTAGGATAACAGATATTAAAAATGACGGATTCGATCATTCTAGAATTTGATTATTGAAATAAAATTTAAATATTTTTGAGAAATTCGAGCTACTGAAATTATTGATACAATGAACGACGTTACAAGTTGGATCTACGAGTTCGTGATATCGAACAAAGAGTCGCATAAATTGAATCGAACATCTTAAAACAAAAGATCGAGTGTATGCGGGAGCCAAAGCTGTTTTCCGTGATAGAATACAAAACGTTTGACCGAACACGGTTGGCATATTGAATACCTAAACGTGCAGATCAAACTTTGCGCATCGATTAACGCATTGAAAATTATACGATTCTATTTAAAGAAACATACGTGATCTTCGTACTTTTATTTATAAAACAAAAGAAAAAAAATTAATTATATCGGATTACCTCGAAACCATTTGATCACGAGGCAAATAATTTACGAGTAATTTATAAATTAAAATTGGATATCCCGTTAAAATAATAATAATCAATAATCGTACGATAATAATTTTATAAATAATAATATTAACAACACAGCCATTTAACAATGGTTCAAAAAAAATTCACTCCTGACTTGTGATCAAGAATTATAATCGCTCAATTAAAGATAAAAATCAGAAAATATCGTAGAAAAAGAGGTATGACATTTTTAAGTGACGCTAAACACAGAATTTAATCTCCTTCCTCCCCTCCCCCCATAAGATCTATCAACAGAGAAATCAACTTTTCTTTTCTTCGCTCATCGAACTTTTATCATCCGTTAATTGATCCAAATTAGGTTGAAATAATTACTTCGATCGGGCCAATTTAAATTCCAAGGTCTACCCTTTCGATCATTCTCCTCCATAACCGCAAAAACTCAAGTTTCTCCTAGGTGACTTGCACCTGTACCATTCTTCAGAGTTGCGCTCGCGCGTTCACAGCAACATCGCACTCGCATCGCATACGAATGACAGGAATTAATATTCCAGCTGTGTGTAAGATATGATGTACAGAGACCCCGGGCATTATCCATGGTTCCGGTCATGAATACGCATGAGCGAGCATTTTTTCCTTCTTTTTCCTCCCCCCCTCTCTTCCTTTTTCCATGAAAACCAAAGACAAACCTGCCACCAATCCTTTCGATCCCCTCGATTATTTTGCCTCCGAATCGGTGTAATCGTAATGGGGGTTTAATTACTTGGTGACAAGGAAGAATTGTCGATGGATCGAATCGTTTTTGATTAGTGTTTCATTTGATAGCGAAATATTTTTTTTTTTTTTTTTTTTGATAAATCAATTGCAATATTTTTGTGTATTTTTATTTGAAATGAATTTTATTTTTTTAAGGATAACTTATGATTCGTTCAAAAATAAAATAATCAGCACTTTTATCTAGCTAATGAAGATAATATTATGTAATTTTTAATTATTAAATATCATTTAAAACAGATTGTTTTATGGATAATTATCGATTCCAATTTTTACGAATATATCTTCAAATAATTTTGAAAATGAATTGTCTTTGAATCCCTTGATCCTCGGCCGATTAAAAACGCATCTTTCCATAACTTGTGCTCGCGTCAAGCCACCGGTAAAGTATATACGCGACGAGCATCAAATAACAAGTAACAAGAAGTATGGGGGGTTGATTTATAACAGTATGATTTAAACTGACACGGCAAATTATCGAGTCGTCAAACGCAAAAATCCCATTTGTTATGACCGAGTGCTAACTAGGCAATTTATACGTTTTTTTTTTTTTTTTTTTTTTTTTTTTTCACGATCCAAAGAAACCGCGAATTGTCATCAGGTTTTTGTCAACGTAACCTTGTAATTATGTTTAGCAAACAAGAGTTGCGGATAAATTGAGCTGTTAATGTTTACGAAAATTTTGTAAGAGGAATAGTAATATTATGTCATTTTTTTTATAATGTCGATAATATAATATATTAATAAAATTCTTCAAGATAATTTTGTTACCACAATATTATACACATTTGTAAACAATTTGAGTTCCTAGAAAACATTTCATTCCATGTTTTGATCATCTCGAGCTACAATGTTTGTGTATATAATAATCAATCATCCACGATGGAAGTTATTTCGATATTATTTCACAAACACGTGGGTGAAATATACTGTATGAAAAAAAAAAAAAAATTAAAATTGACGCCTTATCACTAATTATATATGAGATTAAGATATATTTATATTCGATATCATTCAGTCGAGAGAGGGAAATCATTATTAAATTCAATTTTTTGAAGAAGAAGATTGTTGGAGCATCAACTAGATCGAAAACCTAACCTAAAAATTTTTCCAGACACTTACATAAGAGAAAATTGAAAATTTCTTAATATAGATATATAATATAGAGAAGTTGTTTATATGAATTTGAGGTTAAGATTACAGAAAATTGGAAAATTTTAATAAGACGATTTTAAATCGAAAACTAATCTGAAATTTTCTTTTTCTTCCATTACTTATATATCAGTAAGAAATTGAAATTCTTAATATAGAAGAAAAGTTATTTATACAGGTACTTTTATACGAATTTGAGATTGAAACAATTTCCTTTAATTTTAGGTTAGTAGAGATTACAAACTGACTTATTTAGTCAAAAGCTCTCAACAAGGGCAATCATCTCATCCTATTACTCCATTTTCTAAAGACAGAAAAACTGCATCTAAAAATCTATTTCTAGAGACATCATCTGTCCAATGATCCAATTAAAAATCTCTCCTTTATCAATCCTTTATCCCAATCACTTAGAACTAATTCGTCGTTCTAATTTGTCTCGCGTCAAACAGTCATCCGCAAGAATTTATCCTTAACTGATTGCAACCCAACAGACTAGATTCCATTTATTTTTCACTCTTCTTGCTTTCTTTTCTCTCTCTTTCTCTCCACTCTCTCCACTGTCTCCTCGTCTGAAAGACAAACACCGGTGGCGACACAGCGGTACGCCACCAGAGATAATCATCGTCATAAATTCATCATCATCATCACCATCATCGTCAAGCCGGCCCTGAGAGCATAATCACTCGTTAGCCGAGGCACACTTCGCCGCGGGCGAATCACTGTCAAGGCTGCCACGCTTCGTGGAATAACGAATTCCATCTGGATGCTCTTCCACGCTTTTCTCCCTTCTTATCTCTGTTTTCCCATTGTTTGGATCGGAGCATCGATGTGTCGAAGCAAGTTAAAAAAAGTTTATCCACGCCACACGTACACGTTTCTCTCTATTTCTCTTTGCAGAAGACGACGAACGAAGAAACTCGCGGTGGAACTGCCGATTCGTTCGACCTGCACGCTCGCCGAATCTGGTGTCTATGAAATCGTGGATATCGCGGGACGATGTCGTCGAGTGGTGAATTTTCGACACTGTCGAGCGGCGAGGCGACCGGAACCGGAGACGACTCGTTGCCCAGCTCTCGAGAGGCGACCGCGGAAGCTGCGGGCTCGGGTGCCGGTTTCATGCCGCTGCGCGAGTTCCTCGACAGATTCTCGTTACCTAGGGTGGTGAGGGTGGAAGGTGCCGGTGGAAGACCGATATTGTTGTACAAACAACAGCAAAGATCGCTGAGAGTCACGGCTACGCTGCTGATGCATCGCTACCGGCATGACGTGAAGGTTGGACCCGAGATTGTGATTCCGGAGGGATATCCCGGTGAGTGGAATTTGCCTCTCTTTTGTAGTTTTTAAGAGGAAAGGATATGCACTGCGACGATAAACTTTTCAACTGGAAGATCAATAGTTGAATTTCAATAATGGAAATTTTGGAAAGAGATATTGAAAATTGAATCGAATTAACGATTCTGGAAACATCGGGTTTGTCACGTTTCTTATTTCCACCGCCAGGTGGCTCACCAATCCTCGTTTCTCGCGAGCAACTCTTACATCCAATCCATTATATACGAATGAAAAATTCTTATCGACAAATAGCATAAATACGTAACGAAACTCTCCATCTTTTTTTTTTTTTTTTTTTCTTTTTCCAACTTCATTTACATCGCCGCGTCCTGTTCAATTATCCCTATCTCGCATCCATCACACGATTAAAATACAATCGACGAGTGTGGAACTCGTTCAGAACCAGATTCCATTATTATCAGATACAAAACGATTTCGATAGAGAAATCTGCAAATAATAGACACGAGCGGGAGACGACGGCATTTCCAAACCCGTCCACCGAGCATTCGAAACTTTTCTCCTCCGCGGCCGATAAATCAAGTCAAGGAGAACCGTCGAAACGCGATGGAAAAAGCGCAAGGGGCCGATATCCGGCCAGAAAATTCATTAAACTGGTGCGGTGGCGCTTAATGGAACGGGAGATATCCCCGGCCAGCATAGAATCGGCTGTGTGCCGATATATCGATCACGTCGGCCGCGATGATCGATCGTGCGCGCGAGTCGCTATCGTGGAATTCGATCTGAGCGTGGATTAAAGCTGGCCGGCTTGCGCAAGATCGAGGCCAGGGAATGTGGCCGATTAATAAACGGCCCCTTTGATCGATGGAAACGTTTACATTCCCATCTCGCTCCTTTTTAACCAGTTTTACGATTATCCCTTCTTCAAAACGACCGCCCAACGGCTCGGGAACAGACGGTAGAAACGGGGATGCTGCTGTTTGATTTACGGATTTTATCCGGTATTGCGAATGTCTTAATTTATTCGACCACTATCCGAGAATTGTTTTATGGAACTCTGTCAAAAGTTGATAATAAAATCGATCCCAACGTGTTTTTTCCTTTTTGCGTTGTTCGAGATGGAGAATCAAATATAGTACGGTTATTGATACGATACGCAAAATGTCGTTGCACGTTTTATTAAAACCCCATACACCAAGGGTCAAAGATCGCTTGCAACATTCTCGAGATTTCCTGTGCACGACGATGCACAAGAAGCCGCATTTGTTTGCTTATTTACCTGCAGCCGAGTGTGTACATATGTAATCAGGTTGTAGTAGGCACGGTGGTGATTTAACCGAGGCCCAGAGAAAGAAAGTAACGGATGGTTTGTAGGTGGCGGTCCCAACAATGAGACCGAGCGTTCGAAGGAGCGTTCGATTTGTGCCGTGCTCGAGCCTGACCAAGCGTTTTTCCTAACGTCGTCGTTTTAGTTTCGTTTCACGTCGCTTCGCGAATTATCGATTTCGGATTATCGGTGTTGCGAATCAGCTTCGATGACGACCGACGTTTATTTATAAATTGTGAATTATTGGAAGAGTTTGTCAGATCTTATCTTATGATATCGTGATTGGAAATGACGGCCATGAATCGTAAAAATTACAACGTGGCTCGAGGAATCGGTTAAAAGGATCGAGCACACGACACATAAAATTCAATCACATTTAATCATGAAAATAAAAAGAAATATCATGGTTCGTTGATCGTGTTCGAGGATCGTTCGTACCCTTCACTCGATCGAGTCAAACGCGTGCGATGTTAAATTAAATCGTTATAATTTCATATCTGAATCACGAAAATAAAAAAAAAAATCAAAATAATAATTGATCGTGTTCGAGGATCGTTCGTACCCTTCACTCGATCGAGTCAAACGCGTGCGATATTAAATTAAATCGTTATAATTTCATATCTGAATCACGAAAATAAAAAAAAATATCAAAATAATAATTGATCGTGTTCGAGGATCGTTCGTACCCTTCACTCGATCGAGTCAAACGCGTGCCGATGTTAAATTAATAATTAAATCGTTATAATTTCATATCTGAGTATAATTCTGATCCGCCATAAAGCGTATCGTCTCGAATACCTCTCTCTCTTTGATTATTCAACGAAGAGGTCACGGTGGAGGTGGTCAGTGACATAAGGCCTCGTATTAGCATAACGGCTGACCGATACTTTTCCAACGAAAACGCGTGAATTACGTATGCACGGCTGGATACACGGCGTGGGTCGAAAATCACGGTTGATGCCGTGATTCCGCTGCAACAGTTTCGTTGGAAACGGTTGGAACGGCCGTCTCTCTTCCTGCCTCTGTCTCTCTCTTTCCAATACTCCCTCTCTCCTTATCGTCGCTCTTTAAATTCCCACTTAAAGACTTACCTTCGACGTCCCTCTCGATTTTCCATTTCTATTTAACATTTTATTGCATTTCTTCAGAAATTGAAATCGATGATACGATATTCGAAAATAATCCACTTGGTGTAATTGTGAATGATTCCTCGAAAAAGAAAAAGAAAGAAAGGAAAAAAAAAAAAAATTCAAACAAAAAAAAAAAAATTCAAACAATACAAGTTTTGACGACGAAAAAGAGTCGCAAATATTGAAAAAAAAAAGAAAAAATAAAGAAGATCATGAAACTCATTCTTCTTTCTCCCATTCCTCCTCCCCTCTGCTATCCTTATCAACTTTCCAAGTCGGGCGTTCTCCACCCACGCTTCCATCAGGAACTTATGCAAACTAGACGCGTAATGATCGCATCTCCGTTCACAATGGGTCGCTAACGAAGCCTCGACCGGTCTAATCTCGACACCGTGTTACAATCGTCGCCCCTTCTCGCCCCCTCGTCGCGTGCTCCGAATCTCTGCAACGGATTTGCTCCTCGAAAAGCCACTCTCGTCCTGCTCGTACGGGACGATCGATACACACTTTGAGGATTTAATTACGGAGCCCGTTGGACTCCGTGGAGAGGAGAATTTAATTACGAGCCTATCTAATTCCTAAGTCAAATAATTCTGGAGAAAAGGATAAGTCAAAAGATTTTCAACAATTCAATTCAATATCTTCTGGATTGGAAAACATCTGCTGTTGATTCGTAATCTCGAATTTTATTGTTGGGGAATCAGGGAAGGAATACAGGAATGATATTGAAAAATTTTGGGTTTGCTTTAAAAATTAAACGAGTAATAACAACAAATTGGCGATTGAAAGAATCTTAATACAAGGGAAGAGAGGAGAAGGTTGTCAAGATAGTGCTAAAAGATTCATAATATGGTGACTTTTAATAGGTTTCCTCTGTCGTTTTTTTTTTTTCTTTTCACGCGTTTTTATAGATATAGGTATAACGCAACACACGACTGGCAAATGGCAAATTAATGTCTATTAACTAATCGAAATAATACAGCGATTATTATGCTTCCCCCGTGTAATCGTATAAACGTTAAAAGAATGTAAATGTAGCTTTTAGAAGGGAAAAGAAAAAAAAAAAATTCCAAGCGTGAATTTTTAGCATTTATAATGACGATCGTGTCGTTACTCTGATCTGACGCGTAAGAAAAATTAAAACAAGCGTACGACGAGAAACTGATTGAAAAACAGTACATTTACATAATCATTTAAAATATAACCGCCGATAAATTTCCGACTGTTAAACTCACAGAGAAGGAATGCGTTTTAAGTAAAAAGGATTTAATTATTGGGACACGCTCATTTCGTATAAAGTATTATTTATGACTATCTAAATTTTATGTTAACATCGAGATATAATGTAATTCTGCCAATATTACCTTCTATAATCAAAGAAAATGATGCCTATTTATTACTTTTGTACTTTTTGTTCATTTCACATTACAGAATCTCCTTTTTCTATTGATTTTTTTTTCAGAATGACGACTTTAAAAACTTTTCTAAACCATGATTTATATATTGTATCCAATTCACTTTATTATTTCATTTATTTATTTATTTATTTTCAAACTGACAACACTCTTTAAATCATACCCCATATGTATATTATATTTAATCTTGACAATTCAACACTTTAACAGTTTCCTCCGAACCATAACCTACACTATCTTCTATTATTTATATCATATCCAATATCCAATCTAAACCTTCAACTTCATCGTCCAAAGAATTCATCATTTTATAGTCTCTTCAAACCTCTCTCAAATCCAATACCCCCACTTCAACAGCAACGCCAATTCAACGCTCTCTGAAACCTCTCCAAACCACGACCTACCTAATCTGGCCCAAAGTTCAACACCCCGGACAAGGAATTCCACACGGGCACGATACCTGGAAGGATCGAGGCATCCTTCGTTCCTCGAGAGAACGCAACCCCCGGAGGGCAGAATTCGATTCCAAAGAGTCAACCAGGTGTAGACCATCCGCAGCTGGAATAAACATATTTCCAGTCGATCGTCGGCCGTGCATCGGCCCATAAATAAAACAAGAAATTCCACGACCATTGGTCCGCCATAAATCCCCCGTCCACGGCTCGTTCCCGATGGCTCGGAGGAACCACCTTTCGTGCCTCCTACCCTGGTCGTAAAACGATGCCAGGCTTGCCCTTCCCTCGCGGGGAATACCCTTGACGCGCTGCGGGCACAGAGGCAGAGGCAGAGGCCGATTCTCGACTTTCGATTTCGCGGCTCCCTCGCGTTTTCCGAGGGATTTATGCAAATCCAGGGGCGGCCGAGAACGTGGCCGCCTGCGAAATCCCCGCGCGCAATACTACGCGTTCCTGGTTGTAAATCAACCGGGGTTATGGGGAAGGGAATCGGGCGCTGTGGCACCCACTTCCGCCCGACAACAATCCAGGGAGTTTAAACCTCTCACAGAGTTTTAGCCTCAGGATCTGTTTTATCGAAGTTGAGAGGACTTTTGAAAGAAGGTTTTTCAACGGTCGGATGGGAGGATTTGACGTTCAATTTGACGAGTTGTCGAAGAAGGTATCGAAGTTCAAAATTGGTTAATCTTTA